TTCCAGGACCCCATCGTGCAGTCCGACATCAAGCTCTGGCCCTTCAAGTGCGTCGCCGGTCCCAGCGACAAGCCGCTGATTGTGGTCCAAGTGGAGGGCGAGGACAGCTTCAAAGCTCAGGGTTGAAGATTCGAGCCCGGCATCAGCGAAGTCGGATGTATCTGTTCTGTTCAAACAAAATCCCGTCAGACCCCCCGGCTGCTCAACAAGTGTCAGGTTGCATCGTCATGTCCAAAGGAGAAGAAGTTCCGTCAGAGAGAAGCCTTCCGGATGGAACTTCTCTTCTCTTTTGGACATGACGATGCAACCTGACACGGGTTAAGCATCGAAGAAAGGCCAAACCAGCCCATGATCATGGGCATGGCTCATCACCCACTGAAGGCCTGCAGAGACTGCGGTCGATGACCTGATCGAGCAGAAGAAGACTTCAGGATGAAAATTCTTGTCAACCCGTCACTCCGAGAGAAGTCTTCCGGATGAAACTTCTTCTCAACCCAGTTGTTCGCGAGAAGTCCTCAGGGTGGAACTTCTTCTATGGGGCCCGCGCGGGCCACAACGAACCGCTGCCTCTTGAGCCATTACTGCACCCGTAGCTTCCAGTCGAGAGATCAGAGCAGGGAACTGTAGATCAAGGGGCCACGTCCATCCCAGCCTCGTTGCCAAAATTTGACTGCGGACGCATCTCCCACTGACGCCGAATGCCAGGGCACGTCCAAAGCACGTGATCCAGGAAGGGAGGTCCCTGAGCACAATGCGCACACACCTTAGGAACTTCTCTTCTCAAACCGTCTGTCAGACAGAAGCCTTCCGGATGGAATTTCTTTTCAAGCCGGTTGCATCGTCATGTCCAAAGGAACTTCTCTTCGTGGTTTGGTGGAACAGGCGGCTAAAGGGCATTTGCAAGGCCCCAAGCGCAAGAACAAGGCTCGCAAAGACAAGAACAAGCGAGCTTTGCCTCGTCAGTCTCCGGGTGATGCCAGTGCGCAAGTCGCACCCTCCCGCGCGTCTTCTCTCTCTTCCCTGGTGCCGTCCATGTGGGGATCGGGAGAAATTTCCTCAGTGTCTCAAAGCAAGGCCGCGCTGGAAAATGGTACTAGACCGAATGGCAAGGTTGTCTTTGTGCAGCACGAACACGTTGCGGCGGAGCTCTTGGACTTAGGGCGGCTTCACAACATCAAAGGCGAGTTCATGGTGATGGTCCCTTTTGGGATGGAAGTTCCGGGGCATGAGGCATCTGAGCAATCCTTTCAGTATGTTGTCGAGGACGGCAAACAGCGCTTGCTCAAGGTGGACGTGTACCTCATTGGCCAACGCCCGGATTACGTGGATCGGCGTGTAGTCAAATCGACGGCTCAAGTGAACGTTACTCCACTGGATCTGGTTACTTTCTGGGCACAGATTCCGCAGTCATGTGTCCAACCTGCAGTGTGGAAGGTTATCCTCAATGGGCCTGTGGCGCATCTGAAGCAATGGTGTGCAATGTGTGGTCAAGGTTGCTTCCATTCTACTTTTGCATGGAAGCGCAACACCTACAAAACCAAGGAGGGCAAAGACGAGGTCATCCTTGAGGGCTTCTTGAAGGTTCCCACGGCCAAGGCCACGGAGGTGTTGAATCATTCGGGTCGCGCGGGCTTGTTCTTGGAGCGCACTCGACAGGAGCAACCACGTCGTGACCCTGTTGAGTGGATTCCCCCGTTGGCAGAAGAAACGTCAGCGGGCTACTATGCTAGGGTATGGGCGGGCCGCAATGGCAATGGAGTTGCTTTTCGGCGAGGAGGAGGGTCGTGGCTGGGAGTTCGGCAAAAGACTTTCACTCCGAAGCGCAGACTGTGGAAAGTCACCAAGGTTTCGCAACTGTGGGGCGAGACGGAATTGATTGAAGCTCTCGAGGGCATCGGTGCTACTGAGGTTGAAGCTCACTCAGGCCCCAAACGTCGAGGAGGTTTCTGGCTCATGTATTTCCATTATCCACAGGATGACGGCACTGGCATTCATGGTTTTGAATGTGGCGGCCAAACGATGTGGTTTTCCTACATGACTGGCCGCAATGTGACGGTGAAGGATCAGCGCAAAGTCTCCCCTGGAGCATGGACAAGTCTGCGACCCACGGCACCTCGTGCAGAAACGGACTCTAACGAGGAGGCGGGGGAGACCCTTGAGGCCCGAGAAAGCCCTGAACTCCTGTCTTCTGGGGAACAGCACCAGATGGATGTGGATTCGACGAAGAAGGAACCTGGCAAGCGCCCGGCGGCTAGCCCGGCTAAGCCTCCTTCTAAGGTGGCGAGGGCGGTTAAAGCGCCGACCAAAGAGCAGGACTTCGATCTCATTGATTGTGGGGCTGCTGGGCAGTGTGGCTTCAATGTCATCGCACTCGGGAAAGCATGTGCTGGCAAAGGACGGAAGGAGGTGGATGAGAAGCGTACGCAGGCTGCCCTCATGGGCACCACCCTCCGGGCAACCTTATCGGCATACCTGCGACGACACCCCGACCTTGTCCAGTACTTCGTGAAGGACGCTGGCACAACAGACCAGAATGATGGCCCTGCACCCAGTACATGGGACGAGTTTTGTCAAGCGGTTCTGAGGCCCAAGTTCTGGATTGACGCCCTGTGCATCATGGCTCTGGCGCGACGATTGCAGGCTAGAATCGTGGTTTTGGTTTGGTCTGAAGGGTCGTGGTCTAACAAGCACTTCTTCGGCAAACCTGGCGACCCACTTGTTGTCATGGCGTACAAGGACCATCATTACCAGTTAGTGGTTCCCAAGCAAGGCAAGGAATTTCCGCCGGAATGGTCCAGCAACAGCGAGCATTGGGGCATTGAGGAGCTTAGCGGCCAAGGGCGGGGGGGGACACGTTCCACAGTGTCCGCTTCCTCGTGGCTCCCTCCTTCGACCAGGGTGAGTTCTGTGTCCCGACGCACGTCCTCGAAGCCTCCGTCTTCGCGCTTGAAGTTTTCTGCACGACCCTCGTCTTGGATTCCGCCTTCTTCTTCTTCTTCCGGTTCGCGCAAGCAAGTTGCAGCGAATGCGGTCTCGTCTCCGCCCTCTCCGAGTGCCGCGGTGACTCAGGACTCAGAGGGCGACAGAGACCAGCATGCCTCGGCCCGGCGCCTGGGCGAACCTGTGGAGACTGCAAAAGGCTCTAGGATGCTGTGGTGGCCATGTCCGTTATGCCCTTTTCGCCTTTACCGTGTGGCAGGAGATGAGGTGCACAACAACGGGCTCTGCAAACGTAAGAAGTTGCACTGTGAAGTGATTCATGGTGTTCCTGCCCCGCCGGCCGCTAGGGGGTCAGTGGGGGCGGTCATGCAGCAGCTGCAGGCCAGAGCCGCCAACCTCAAGTCCTCATATCGTTCGGCGATCAAATGGATGCGGGGACAGAAGTGGGCCTTTGCCCATCGCATGGCCGGCAAGGTCCGATGGGACAAGTGTGGGACATATGAAACGTGGGTGGATCATTGTGTGCAGTGCGCCAAAGTTTTTCGCCTGGCTCATGTTGCTGGAGGGTACTGCTTGCGACATCCTGACCTGAAGCATATCCCGTTCGACAAAAGGCGCGCTGAAGTCTACAACCGCAGTCGACAGGGGAGAGCCCGTCCAAGCTTAGAGGACAGACAGCGCCTCTTCCGTGCGAACAGAGACGAGGCTCGGCCCAAAGGAAGTGCCCAACACCGAGGTCAGTTGGCGAGGCAAAGCAAAGGCGAGCAAAGAGGGCGCTCCTCTGGCCGGCTCCGCAAGTTGCAGAAGGCGGGGCAGAATCCTCTTCCGCAGTATGCGGTCTCCGATGTGGGTCCGCTGTGTGGGTAACCTCCGTGGTGGTTCACGAGAAGGCTTAGTTTGGTCCGGCAATCTCTCTTCGTGGCGATTGCATGCGAAGTGGTTTCTCGATGAAGCAGTGGCACATCATGTCGATGTGGCATGTTTGCAGGAGACGCAGTTATCCCACATTATGCTCCCGGGTGCAGCGTCTTTAGCGGCCAGATCTGGCTACCATCTTTGCGCTATTCCGGCTCCCGCCACTCGGCGAGGCGGAGTTGCTATTTTGGTTCGTCAGGACCTGCCCACGAGGGTCATGCGGGAAACGTCTGCATCGACCGGGCAGCTTCTTGTTGCGGAGGTTGAGCTCAACGGTTGTCCTGTGCAGGTGGCTTCAGTGTATTCCTCTGTGAACGAAACGGCCGTCTCTGATAGTGTCTTGGATTGGGCTCGAACTTTGCGAGATCGGCCAGCCATTGTTGCGGGTGACTTCAACAAGTTGGCGCGTGATGAGGACTTTCTCGGCAATTTGACCGACCTAGACTTCGCGGTTCAGGCGAGAGGCGGGCACCGGACTAGTCCGTCTCCCATTGACTTCATCTTCGTCAAGAACATCCAAAGGGCGGGTGGTAGCGTTTGCGCAGAGCATCAACTGGAAGACCATGACTTGCTTTGGCTAAGTGTGGCCCGGGTCCCGTCGAGGCCCCGGATGTTGAGAATGCTGGAGCATCCCAAATTGCGACCACCTCAAACGTCGACGGACATGCCGGCTGCGGACGCCCCTTTTGATGACGACGGTTGGAGGCAATTGCTCGACGAGGGCGACGTGGAAGCGGCCTGGTTGCTCCTTTCCCGTGCGGCGGAGGACCAGCTTCGTCGCTGTGGTCGTGTTGTCGGATCTGAGCGTCATCCCCGAGGTTCGTTGCCCAAGGTGGTTCCGTCAACGTCTCGTATTGGTGCTGGCCAGTCCCATCGGGAAAGACAGCTGCGCAGATCGGTCCGCCTGGCTAAAGAAGTGACATTTCGGGCTAGGAGGGCGTCTTCCTCTCCCATCCCTGCGGATCTTGCAAGGAAGCTGGGAAAAGCTTTGCGCCGTGAAGGAGGCGACCCACAATTGGTCCAGCAAAGGCGATGGCGTGAGATTGAGCAATATTTTCACGGATTGCTGAATGCCCTTTTGCAGGCAGAGAGCCGACAAGCCTTGAGTGAGTGGCGCCAGCGAGTCCAAAATCCGTCGCAGGCCATCACGTGGGTCAAGAATGATGTGCGGCCCCTGCTTGTGGTCGACGTTGAGGAGGGCACCCGTGCGGGACCATCTGCTGTTGCTGAAGCCATGCGTTCTTGGTGGTCGAGTCTGTGGTCTACCACTGCCGCCCAAGACCTAGATCACCTGCGGGAGCGACTTGATAGCATGTGCCGAGCTGCGGGACGGAATGTCTCGCCCGACCAGCTGCAGCCTCTCCAGGCTGCGGACTTGCAGGCGGTCTTGCGGAGCATGCTCACGAAAGCTACGGGCCTTGATGGGTGGGAGGCCCAAGCCTTGCTGGCTCTCAGTCCCTTGATGTTTGATCGCTTTGTCTTTTTCTTGCAGGAGGTGGAGAGATTGCAGCAGTGGCCAGATGCATTGTGCGCTTGGAGGGTGGTGTACATCCCCAAGAAAATCAGTCGTAATCCGGGCTCTTACCGCCCGATTGCGGTTGGCGCCATTCTGTATCGGGCGTGGGCTAAACTGCGAGCAAGCCAGGTTGCGCGGAAATTTTCGTTCAGCTTTGCCCCGACTCAGGGCGGTGGCCGGGGAGTCCCGGATGCCCCAGTACTGGTCATGGACATCTTGCAACGTCAGCACGAGGGCTGGGTTTATGGGGCTGCCTTTGACTTGGAAAAAGCGTTCGACTCCATGCATTCGGATTTGGCAGTGGATGTCATGCTTAGGCATGGCCTGCACCCCAGTGTCGCAGGTTGTCTTCGCGATGCATGGAGCCGCCAAGTTAGGTGGATCATGACGACTGGGGCGTACGCTTCACAGCCTGTCACTTGTCATGTTCTTCCGCAAGGAGATCCCTTCTCTCCTTGGGCTCTGAGTCTGTGGATGGGCTTGCTGGTCCAAGAGGTGCAGCGTAGGGTACCGGATATCATACAATATCAGTTTCTTGATGATCGGACGGCGCTGGGACGAACGGTGCAGTCCATTCAACGGGTGGTGGTGGCGTGGGACCAAGTCACTCTTGATGTTGGCTTCCGGAACAATGCTGCGAAACTTCAGGTTTGGTGTTCGGGCTCTCAGCCTGAGGCTCTCAGAAACCTCTTCCCACGAGCCTTTGTGGAAAAGCCGGTTGTCCTGGGCCACATGGTGGGCAGCGCTGAAAGTGACAACCCTGAAGAGGACAAGGCTTGGACGATTGTGCGCCGATGGGTCAGGCGCATTGCAGTGCTGTCGGTTAGTGAGGCTTTTCGGTGGACAGTTGCGCGGTCTCTCATGGTCCCGAAGTTGGCATGGCACTATGGCACTGGCCGTGTCCCGTCCACCAAGGCGAGCTCGGAGTACAAAGCCTTGCTCAAGGCCGCTTTGCAGGGCCGAGCTCAGGGATCAAGACATTCCTGGGAGCTTCGCTTGGCCTTTCAGTTGGGTTATCAGGGCGACCTCTTGACGTGTGCTGCATTGACTTTCTTCCGAGTCTTTACGAAGTGGCTTCGCATGCCTGGCTTACTTCCGGCTAGCTCGCCGTCCACTTTTGAGAGTGCAATCTCAAGCCCACGCGCGTCTGTCTTCGAAAGGGCAGCGGCTAGGCTTGGGTTTCAAGCCTTGCAACCTCCTCGACGCAGGGATCCTCAGTCTAGGACGTGGGTCTGGATTTGCATGGGTGCTCAAGTCTCGCTCCCAGGAGCTTCTGCTAGCACGCACCGTCAATTGTTGCACCGGGTGAGAGATTGGTGGCGACTCCAACGTCTTAAGGACTGGTTGGCATCATCACGACGGGATGCTTTGATTGCACGACGTGAAGGTCTCAGGGTTGATGCTCATACCATTCCGGCGCTGCGGAAATTATATGACAAGTTGTCCACGCATGCGAAGGCTGTCATGCTTGGAGGCTTCAAGACTGAAGCAACGGTGTCGGCTGCGGAGGCTGTTACTAAGGTGTGTGCACACTGTGCTCAAGGACCTCCCTTCCTGGATCACATGCTGTGGACGTGCCCTGGCATCCGGCGTCAGTGGGAGGTGTCCAAATTTGCTGCGAGGCTGGGGTGGACGTGGCCCCTTGATCTACAGTTGCCTGCTCTGATTTCTCGGCTGGAAGCTATGGGTGCAGTAAGGGCTCAAGAGGCTGCGATCCGTTGTGGCCCGCGCGGGCCCCACAGAAGAAGTTCCGCCCTGAGGACTTCTCGCGGCCAACCGGGTTGAGAAGAAGTTTCATCCGGAAGACATCTTTCGGAGCCACGGGTGGAGAAGAAGTTTCATCTTGAAGTCTTCTTCTGTTCGATCAGGTCATCGACCGCAGCTTCTGCAGGCTTCAATGGGTGATGAGCCATGCCCATGGGCTGGTCTGGCCTTTCTTCGATGCTTTACCCGTGTCTGGCTGCATCGTCATGTCCATGTCATTGGCCGCAGCTTCTGCAGGCTTCAATGGGCGATGAGCCATGCCCATGGGCTGGTTTGACATTTCTTCGATGCTTAACCCGTGTCAGGTTGCATCGTCATGTCCAAAGGAGAAGAAGTTCCACCCGGAGGAGATCTCCTCCATGGTGCTCCTGAAGATGAAGGAGACGGCGGAGGCCTACCTCGGCACGAAGCTCAACGATGCTGTGGTTACGGTCCCGGCGTACTTCAACGACTCGCAGCGCCAGGCCACCAAGGATGCGGGCACCATCTCAGGAATGAACGTGCTTCGTATCATCAACGAGCCGCTCAACTGTTAAGTCCAACTTTGGGGTTTTGTTCATCAACTTACCGAACCAGAGAAAGGGGTTTGCATGGAGTCGTGTCGTGAGCGCACGTGCGGTTGGTTTGTGTTGGCGGAATGCCTGAGGCCCACTGCAGCAGCGATTGCATATGGCCTGGACAAGAAGGGCTCCGGCGAAAGGAACGTCCTCATCTATGTCGCTTGGCTGCCGCACGACGACGA